GTTTAGTACCCATAGCACACCCTCTTGACCATCCTCAATTTATCGGACATAACTCGGGCAGCAGTTGCAGCAGGGATGTCAGTCTCGCGGGGAAGCTCGACAAAGGTCCAGGCTCTGTGATCAGACATTCAGCGCTTGACTTCATCCACCCTTTTTTCTTGTGCAGGATGAACATTATGGGACCATCCACGACAACAAATTTTTTCCTTTCTTCCTTCTTCGGGCTCCTGAACCAAATCTTCCACCTCGCATTTCGAGAACATGCATGCATCTACTGGTCCGGCACAGGTCAAATTTGAGCAGCGCACTTTCCTCTTATGACGCCTGATTCGAAAATCCGGCGCTGATTTTCACCACTCGGGCTTCTTTTCAATTTCTCGAGATTTTCTTCTGCGGCTAGGCTAGCCAAATTCACATATAGATAGCCAAAGGTACTAGCTTTCAAACGATATAGAAGCCTACAGTCATGACCCCTTTGCTTTCCTGCTATTCCTCTGTATGTCTCCACATTTCTGAATAGGATGACCTAATAGAATGGGTGATGTAGAGGGTAGGTCATAAACATTAATGATGGGTGACAGAGAGGGATAAACAGTGATGGGAACTGATAAGGACCGTTGCCGCCATCGCCGTTCGTCAATGCTCAAAGAGTTGAACACTGTCGATGTAAGCTCTTGATACAGGTTTCATGTTCGGCATACTCCGTAAAAGTCCTAGCAAGATCGCAAGATCAAGGATGGGATATAGACTGGTTGAAGGTAGTGCCGAAGTCAACGTGAAAATCCGCGCTGATGCCACCAGCACAATAGAATGGACTTCGTTGGCGCAGTTCACATCAAGGTTGAAATGAATAGCGAAAAGTCCGAGATGATTGCGTTCTGTATTAACACGGAAATGGGAGCAGAGGCTATTATTGGAACGAGTGCGTTGGACAAGTTGGGGATTGACGTGGCCGTAAACAGAGAATGCAGTAAGGACGACAAAGCATTTCTGGAGAACAGGAACAAACAAGGTGTATGTGGAGCCAGGCGCTACCCTTACCTCATGAGAGGGTGACAGTACAGAATAATGGTTTAAAAAGTCATATAGGGAAGACATGCATGTCAGAAACCATAGAG